CTTTCATCTTATACTCTGAAGAAACACAGTGAAGCCACTTTTTTTCAGATTATACCTTCTGAAGACTTTGTATCAAGTACTGCTTTCAGCAGGAATTCTTAATAGAGGTGTAAAACATAATATATATTAAATACGAGCGAGACTTTCCAAAGATATATTCATTTTTTGTGTACTGAGAATTTTAAGTGGACATTTGTGTGTCTTTTTATTATGAGTGAAAATTGTGAATGCTTTGCTTCAAAGGCTAACAAAAGACACTTTTTCACATTTTCTATGCTCCTCAGTTATGACAGCAAAGCTAGATGGAGGGGCCATCAGGAATTAACTAGTGACTCACCTGCCAAGAGCATGTGATATTTATTCAGTTTAGAGTACCTACTGTCAGTTTACGACAGGTAAGGTAAACTAGAGAACTCTAAAAGTCAGATGATCCCCTGTTAGCAAGCATTTGGTGACACTGGGGAGGAAGAACGCCTTTTGAACAGGAAGGGACCTCCAGTAGAACCACTCCCAGGGAGGGACTGCCATGCTTGACCAATGAGGAGTCAGAGGACGAGAAGAGCAGAAAAGAGAGACAAAACAGTCTATCGCAGCCTTTGCTAACACAGTTCCCCAATTTCCTCAGTCACAAAACCCTGCAGACCAGATGGCATCTATCTGGGAATGTCTGGTCGCTAGGGAAGAATATATGTATTCCCTGAACTGGTTGGCAGAGTGGTTGCTGCTGGTAATCGCTGTGTAAAATCAGTCATGAAGAGGGAGCTGCACCAAAAATCTCCTTGTGCTGGCTTTGCTAGGTGTCTTCCATGCAAACAACTGCTGCAAACTGCTGCAGTCTGCTGGTGAACAAATCGATTACAAAGAGGTTTTCAGCGAAGCACTGTTTACTCCTTTGCACCAATTTCACCTAGTGACAGCAAGCAACTGCCAACTAGTTTGTGAATACACATTTTTCCTTAGTAAATGGTGCTTACCAGGAGGACAGTCGCTGACTGGTGTCAAAGCATACTTGTCTGTAGTTTTAGCAGTTGATTTCACATGCAGCAAGTTGGGGAATACTCACTTTTCCCTGGCGACCAGTGGTTGCCAGGCAGTCACCAACTGGTCTCTAGCCCTGGGCGACTGGTGCCTGACTTTTTGCTTTTGATATACTATCTACCTTTACAGCCCAGCAGGACTATGGTTAAATCACTAGACACTTCCACCACTTTCACAGGCTGTAGATTCACCGCAAGGGAAGCAGAATGCAGGTGAAGTAAAATAAAAACCCTGGCTATAGAAAGACGACATAAGTGTCTTTGCTGGAAACTAATAATTATCATTTGCTCTTGATACTAATTAGTTAGAGTTTTCTAATTATTTTTTTGACTGCATTTACAGTTTTCTAAAGTTGTATACACATCAGCAAAACATATTATTGGTGATTGCACACATTTCAAGTGATGCAGTTTTAATCTGAAGACAGATCTTCGCTTGTATTCACAAATCAGATACAGACATACAGACTGAAATAGTCACAACTGTCCGCACACATTTGCAAATAATATTGCTTCAATAATATCCCCAAAGCGCTGCACAGTAATAATATTAGTAATGGCTGTCATATAATAGAATATAATAAAAACTGTCTCTTTATCTCCAAAGTATTTTATGAAGCTGAGTTATAAAGTGGCTCATATATCTGTTGTAAAACTCATAAATTCAGCAAAACATAAAACATAGAACCAAAGCAATAACATAAAAAAAATCACCAGCAAAACAATGGCAGTAATAACTAACAGAGTATCATTTCATCTAAACAAGTCTATAAAAGTGAATTTCAAGCAGCTATTAACAGATTATAATCAATCTGCTAGTTTGAGCTCGCTAACAGAGCCACGGGGGAGGCCTGTGTGCTGTGCTTTCATAGAGTTAGAGCTCAGAAGAAACAGATTTTGAAAAGCGTTATTAAAATCAAAGCAACAGAGGCCTCAATGGAGAAACTTTTCCCATAATGCAACTCTGCAGCCTCTTTCATTAAACCCTGCCACCCTGCGAACTCCGCTTCTTTTATACCCCGCTACTTGAGTTTGTGACTCATGCCTTCTGTTAATAATGTCACACACTTTCGTTTCCCTCCGGGGTTGCAGAAGATTTCACACAATTGTGAGGTGAAAGATTGGCGTATTGCTCCTTTAAATGCCCATCCGGAGCTTTAAAAGTAATCAGTCTTGTCTTCAAATCCATCCAACAAATAGGCAATCCACTTGAGCTGTTAAATTTTAAAGATATGATGATACAGAGTCTCAAATTTTTCCTCACTGCAGTTTTACTCCCTGGCCCCATATTTTGACATTTCACTGAGTATAACAGAGCAATAGAACCAGAGTATTCGATTAAATAACCCCATAAAAATACATGCACGTGTTTGTATGTCAGCTAATATCACAGCCAGAGCTGGGATGGTGACGACAATCTGCAAAGCTCCTTTTTAAATTAACCCAGAGTTTCCATTTCTCGATGTTGGATGTAGAACAACAGCCTGTTATTCGTTTTTTTGTGTAGCTTTATGTGTACAGACTGCGTGCACATTTGCTTGGCAAACAGAAGGTTGCAAGTTTGATTCCAGCCAGAGTCACAAATCCCTTCGGGGTTGCGTCAGGAAAGGTAAAACCCAAACCAAACATGTTGAGCTACATGCTATGTTGTTGTGAGCAGTTCAAAGTAGCTCATGTGTGCAGTCATTGAATTCCCCATGAGTTACTCCTCCTGTTGCATGTGTGCATATGCACTGCATACCTTGACAACATGCGGTCTGAAAAGTGATGCCGCTGTAGAAATGTCTAACGGCCAGCTGGGGGCGACTTTATATGAGTGTATAAAAGTTTGCAAGCAACTGATGCTAATGTTCACTTCATTTATCACCTCATTAAACACTTTCCTGGTGAGTTTATGGTCTCAATCTCTGGTTTCACATCTTATTATTCACAATATTTTTTGTAATTATCTTCCCAGTTGGAGTCAAATAGATGATTAAACAGTTTATGCTTCAGATCTGTCCCTTCAAAAATCCAAGATGGCAGCAGCCAAAACACACAGCTCCATCCATCCATCTGTCCGTCCATTTTCTGCCACTCATTCGGGCTTGGGTCTTGGGGGCAGGACACTAAGCGCCAGCCCACCCTCTACCCAGCTGCTTCCTCCAGCTCTTCCCTTGAGATGCTGAGGCCTTCTCAAACCAACTGAGAGACATAATGTCTACCAAGTGTACTACTTCTGCTCCACAGTCTTCTTCTAGTGGGAACTGCCTGAAATCCCTCACCCAGGAGATGTTCAGTAGGCAGCCCTATCCAATGCCTGAACCACTGCAGCTGGTTCCCTTTGGGTGAGGATCTTGGTCTACTCCTCCTTATCAGTCTCCACCCTCTGGAGGAAGATCATTTGCTGCCCCTTGTATCCGCAGCCTTATTCTTCTGGTCACCAGTCATAGATGAAAGTGGGAACACTCAACTCGACAGATAAATATTGGACTCTTGGTTTTTCTTGAAATTCTGGAGATTAAAAATCTCTTTTGTAAGAGCAGCCTGGCCTGACAACGGTGGCAATAAACAAGTATGTTTGGTTTTATTTCTGCAAGAGAAGCCAGAGCTGCCAGAGAAAAGGGCCCTGCCTGCTTTTGAAACTAGGACCCTCTTGCTGTGAGCCAAGAGTGCTAACCAATGAGCCGCGATGCTGCCAAGCTGCCATGTATTCCAAAAAACAAGAGAAATGCAATATCATTGATAGAGAGCTTCCCCCAACTCTTTGCACGTGCAGGAAGTGTTACCCCACCCCCCCAAAAAATAAAATGCACAGAAATGCCAAGGCTATTTAAACTTTTGCAGAAGTGTTTGGGTTTGTGTCAAACATAGTAACGAGCTGACTGAGAAAATTTATCTCCAGGTCCTTAAAAGAAAAGAAAATACAATTTCAGAAGGCTGTCTTCTGTCCAGAATAAAAAAAACCAAAAAAACAATCCTGCTGGCGCAGAAATACTGCTGCATGCACGTCTTCCTTTTTTTTTTTTTTTTTTTTTTTCTTTCGCTTTACATTACTCTCTTCTGATCTGCCTGCAGTGCATATGTTAACATGGTGTAGTTGTGGAGGTCACAAACACTGTCCTTGCTATGGAGCAGTTAGAGAGACAGACATAGCACGAGCAGGCTTGGACGTCCTCACCACCAGCGCAGATGCCACTAAATAAAATATTTCATAATCCTGCCCAAATCCTCTAATCACCATGACAACAGGCAGCAGGGAGCCAGAGAGTGGTGGTGGTGATGGTGTGTGGACCCCCCTCCTCCTTTCTTTTCCCTCCTTTTCCCTCTTTTAACCAGACTTTGGCTCCACACTGTGAGATTGTTTTTCTTAATAGAAGCTGCGCTGTTTTATGATCACCCAAAGAAGAGATCATCGCATTGATTTTCAGGAAAGTGTTTAAAGTAGAACACTCACTTTTTTTACCCTAACAGGCCACTGTATAGTGTCTCAGTGACCAGCTGCAAACTCCTGAAGAGGAGCATCAAGTTTAAATTGAATTACTGCAGATAGAGTGCTGTCAGAGTCCAGAAGGTACAGATATTCACACAGTGAAGGCCTGCTGGGTTCTGTATGGTGATAGGATAATGGAGGTGATGACCTCACAGGGTGAAAGGACCTGTTGCCTGGAAACAGTGTGGATAACAGCAAGAGACCAGGGGGGTAGTCATATCGCTGGTGTGTGGGTGCGAGTGTGTGATATCGACCAGTGTTGCCAGGTAAGGGAGATGATGACAGTGGTTTAAAGTCAAGTTTAAGTGTATCGATCTCACTCACGTGTGTGTGTGTGTGTGCCACTGATATCACAGCCCACACACACACCGGTCCAGCACTTCCCACTGCGACATGGATTTCCCTGCGTTTTCCTGCTTCTTCCTTCGCTCATTTGACGGTGTGTGCCAAACATAAATAATTAACTCCTTCTCCTCTCTGTCTCCCTGCAGGTATTCGGCCCCAGATTATGAACGGGCCTATGCACCCGCGCCCTCTGGTGGCGCTGCTGGATGGGCGCGACTGCACTGTGGAGATGCCCATCCTCAAAGATCTGGCCACCGTGGCTTTCTGTGACGCTCAGTCCACGCAGGAGATACATGAAAAGGTACACCGTCAGATTTCAGAGGGGATTTAATTGACTTTGAACGGGGCATAGTTGTTAGTGCCAGTCTGACTATTTCAGAAACTGGTTATCCGCTGGGATTTTTCCACACGGCGAGCTCTAGGGTTAACAGAAAATGCTCTGATACAAAAACTATCCAGTGAACTGCAGTTCTTTGGGCGAAGTCTTGTTGATTCCAGATGTTAGAGGAGAATGGCCTCGAAGCAGATGGGCTGCAGCAGCAGAAGACCACACCGTGTGCCACTCCTGCAAGCTAAGAACAGGAACAGGGGCTGTAGTTCACACGGACTCGACAAAATAGGACAGTAGATGATTGGAAAAAATGTCACGTGGTCTGATGAGTCTCAGTTTCTTTTTGGATAGTAGGAATTTACTGTAAACAAGATGAAAGCATTGAGCCATCCTCCCTTGTATCAGTGTTTCAGGATGCAATAGTGTTGGCACACTTTGGGACCAGTACTCAATAGTATCTGAGTATTGCTGTTGCTGGCCATGTTAGTCCCATTACACAAATTTCAAATCATCTCAAACTGGCCTTTTGAACTTGACAATAACCAGAGCTCAAACAAGCCATGAACCTTTGGTTTCCCAACACCTTGTCGAATCTGTGCCATTCTGAATTAATGGAGTTCTGAGGGCAAAAGTGGATCAAATCCAGTATTAGCAAGGCACGCTCACTGGCCTAAGTGGCCATTGTGTCTATTATTATTATATTATAATGTATTTTATATTATTATGTTCTAACTGAATAAAGAAGCCCAACATTTTCCATTTCTTTACTTAGAGATTTGACTCTTCCTCCTCATAATTTCCATATTTTGACATTTAACAGTTTTAAGATGCACTACATATTAGATTTATGTCAGACCAATTATTGACGTTTTCTTGCAAGGTGATGCTCCTCGCTGTAACACTTGTAGAAGCCCCAGTGGCAGTATCTGCAGGAGCACTGACTGTGATACTGACACAGTGTGGACTTTTAATGTTTTTCTTGAAATATTTGCTCTCAGTCGAGTGCAGTAGAATCATCTCTTTCCTCCCTCTCCGTCTCCTCCTCTCTAATGTTTTAATAATATTTCAGCCCACTGGCTTGTTCCACTCTCCCAGTTCAGCTATAATGGTTTCATCACTGACTCTAATCCCACTGGGTGCTGAAGTGCTGCTTTGTTAAATAAGGACGAGGAGGAGGAGGAGGAGGCGGCTGGTAATAGAAATGCAGTATAATTGTTCTCAGCCAGAGTGGGTGAAACATTTGTCTTATTTTACTGTCTATGCACTGGAGCCAGCGAGCAGCAATTTTACAGTCCAAGCTGGAGGGTTTGTGTCTTCACGCTCACAAAGAGGAAAGGAAGCCTTCCAATTCATGCCATGTCAGTTTCAGAGAAAATGCTACCATATTTCAGTTGTTGTAAATGTGTAATGAAAAATGGGTCTGATTGAATTTGTTGAAAACATTTATGCTTAAAAAGAAACCAAACGGTTGATATTTCACCTTATTTTCACCTTACAGACACACACACGACACACAAAAGCGTCCAGTAAGACATTATGAATACATTTCTCACAGAGGATCCACCTGGGAGTATAGATGCTGGCAACGGTCCCATGACTGTAACTGCGCAGCAGAGGTTAAACACACAAACACACACACACCCTCCGACAACCTCACTACAAGAGCTGAAGCAGTGTTCACACACGTGCACATAAACAAACTCTTAGGGTGCAAACACAAGCATGCTGCCGTCTCTTTCTGTGACTGCCTGGAAGTGAGCAGATGCAGTGTTTGAGTTATGCTCCACTTAAAGACTCCGTACTAAACTGTAGCTCTTGAGCTCTCAATGTGCAACTGCAAGCCTGCCAAAAACACCTCGACTTCTGCCGAGCACGCGTTAAAAGGAATTTATTAGAAAGTACTTCTGGCGTATTCCCTGGAACAGTGCCGTCCTTGAAAGGACAAAGAAGATCCTTTGGATTTCTGAAGATACAAAGTGGTGCGCTTTAAAAGTGTCTTTGACGTCATTATAAAAGTAACTGCAGCTGATATTCTATTGAAAAGTGATCACTTTTGCAGATATAATTGAGAAAAAGATTTTATGTTGGAGAAATGTTAGTTAATTTAGTATTTTTAAGCTTTCGGTTGACAAGTGTTAGGAAAAGTAGGGCATTAAACAAAGATGTTCAGCTATAGTCTTAAAATATATGAGCAGTAAATGTATTATTTAAAAAATTGATCGTGCTTGACTTGATGTGTCTTAGATTTTCTCTGTTCTCTGTATTGTTGTAGGGTCTTTACCATACAATATAAAGCATCTTGAGGCAACTGCCGCTGTGATTGGGAGCTATATAAGTAAACTGAAGTGAATTGATTTGTTCTTTACATTCATCCCTCCATCAACTCCATCTTCACACTAGCTGCCGATCAGCAATCCTTTTTCCCTTTCCGACACAAAAACTCAACAAACCCAAGTCCAAAATTCAAAACTTTCTTCTGAAGCCCCAAGCCTGTGATTGCATAACAAGGTGCTTAAAGTGCAGAGGAAAGTGGTCAAATAACTGATTGAAGTTTGCTTCATTGTTGTAGTGAAATGGCTTTTGGAGCTAGAAGCAGCTGCAGGTGATTAACTTAGCTTAGCTTGTTGGTTTAAAGCCAACAATAAGCCTACCGGCACCTCAGAAGCTATGGTCATGTGAAAAAGGAACTACACCCTCTCTCTGTTCTAAGATTTTACAGATTAGGACAGGAATGAAAAGTCATCTGGTTTTGAGTAGGTCATGCAATTAGGTAAATATAACCTGGTGTGAGCAACAGTGCGTGATGTGTTACACAGAAACTAACTTGTTTGGAAGGGTTGCCAGGAGAAAGTCCCTTGTCTCTAAAGGAGCACGGCTTAGGTTTGCAAAGTTCATCTTAAAAAAAACACAAGACGTCTGGAACAATGTTCACAGTGGAGATGTTTGACTACAATGCACAGTACCAATTATAAAGAAAACAAATCAAAACACTGAATTTCAGCACAAATAACTCGTACAAACGGTGAAGCATGGTGGTGGAGGGGTGATGATTTGGGTCCTGGTCACCTTGCAGTCTTTGAGTCAACCATGAACTCCTCCTTATACAAAAGTATTCTAGATTATGTGAGGCCATCGTGTTAAAACTGGGTCATGCAACAGGACAACAATCCCTGAAATGGCTGAAATAGAAAATAATCAAGATTCTGCAATGACCTGGTTGAAATGTGTGACATATTTATCTAATTTTAAGACCTGATATGGGCCAGCTGATTTGTCAGTGCATCCTGATATATAAAACCTTATGTATCAGAAAGAGGGTGCCGTTTCTTTTTCACATGACTGTAAGTGGCACACGCTTTCATTTGGCTAAAGGAGAGATATGTTGGGCTTAGTTTAGTGTAAAGACTGAAAACAGAAATATTCTTCTTCTCACCTTTCAAACACAACTGCAAACATATTTCAAGTTTAATCTCCACACAAATTGAAATGGATTGCAGTAATCACGATCCTTTGATGTGTTTAAATGCGAAGGAGCACGTGATGTATCAGCTCAGAGCGGCACTTTTTTAAACAGCCATGAATACCACAGAAAGAAAACGTAATTTTTCTCACAGTTTCCACTTCATGTACACTCAGCTTGTATCCCTGTTTGTCCTTCTCCAGCTGGCCCGCTTTACTCGAGTAATGAGAGCGATGCACGAGGAGAGCTTTAACCTTGAGTTTAGCACCCAGCCCTTCCTTCAGATAGCTCCACTGTGAATGCTCTGTGGAAATTCACGGCTGCGCTGTTCTGGCTCGGCTAGGGTTAATTTAGTTAGCAGGATGTGAATTCAGACCGGTTACTTAACAGCCCTTGGCTTGCAGAATCTACTTGTTTATGCTTTGTGGGTTTCTCAGCAGCTGTCAGTCTACTTTATTGTCCTGCCTGCATCCATTCTAACCTTGTTTGCATACAGTTTGAATGGATGTGTTGTGACAAAAACCAGCTTTGGCAAGCACTCATTGTACAGTAAACACAAAGGCAATCACTCATATTTTAGTGCACATATAAACAATCCATTTGCATTTAGATGAAGAATAGCGGACATAAACTTTGGGAAGATGGGAGGTAGCGAGAGCACGCATATTCATGTTGGCTGTTACAGAAGAGCCATCTGAATATCAGTGCCGGGTTGAGGATGATTAAGAACAGTAATGACATTGGGGTAGCAATATAAATGCAGATGAAAATGTTCAACTAATAATGGCTGTGGACATAAGCAGTGATGATGATGAGGCCTTATCCTCTCTGATGTCCCCCAGGTGCTGAATGAGGCCGTAGGGGCCATGATGTACCACACCATCACCCTGACCAGAGAGGACTTGGAGAAGTTCAAGGCGCTGCGCATCATCATTCGCATCGGCAGCGGCTACGACAACATCGACATCAAGGCTGCCGGGGAGCTCGGTGAGACTGAGGGACAGATGCACACGAAAGATGAGCGTTGCGAGCAGGGCGGCTCAGGCGCGGAGCGTAATCACGCGGCGTGAATAATGAAGGAGCCTATCTGCTCGTGTGGCTAGCTCATTCACTACAAAGAGAAAACATAAAGGATGATTCATCAAGTGGAAAATATGCATCGCGGAGGAGGACCAAATCAAACTCTGCTCGCGATGTTTACGCGACACATATGTACAGGAGTTTACTGTAAACAGTAGATGTAACAGAGCTAATTTCACATGCAGAGCAGCTGCTCCGACTGATATCAAACTCTCCCTGTGATTCCCATTTGGCCCCGTCGGCATATGTTTGGTATGAGAACAGGATTTGTGTGATATCCTAATTATTGTCATTTGCGCTCCTATATTTCAGTACGCTGCCAGTCTTTTGGTGGGCATAATTAGCAATTAGAACGATCCTCTTATCATTCATATTTCAGTTTTATACACAGCGGGATTTTATTCTGTAGTAAGTCATAAAGACGGAGAAATATCCTGCCATTTATTTCGTAAAATAAAATACTAGCAAATGGATCTCTCTCTCTCTCCAAAGCAGTGACAGTAATCTGTGAAGCAATATTGTTACAGCAGTAGTCGACTAAATTGCTATCTCTCCTTGTCCAGGCATTGCAGTGTGTAATATTCCCTCAGCGGCCGTAGAAGAAACAGCAGACTCGACGCTTTGTCACATCCTTAACCTGTACCGGCGAAACACCTGGCTGTACCAGGCTCTTCGGGAGGGCACGCGGGTCCAGAGCGTGGAGCAGATCCGGGAGGTGGCGTCAGGAGCAGCCAGGATCCGAGGAGAGACGTTGGGCCTGATCGGATTTGGTAAGTTGCTTGTTTTGGGTTTTATTGCAGAAAGCGTGCAGAGCTGAAAAGTGCATATTGAATGATTAGCCACAGCATTGAAACCAATGATACAGACCACCTGTCAAAAAAACCCACAAATATTTTCGAAATCTGTCAAAAACATGTTTAAAACTTAAAATTATATTGTTATTTATTAACCACAAAACAAACAGAATCCAATTCTCTGCATAACATTAGACCTGTTATTTGTTATTTGGCATCTTATTTAAAAAAAAAGAGTCTACTTTTCTACTTTTATGTAAATACATATTGAATATTCACAAATAACAATGACAATTATATTTTAGGTTTAAAAATATCGTTTTAATTAAAGAGCTTGGACATACTGATAGATTATTCATCACAGATTCATTACAAAATAATTTTTGGTAATTACCAGTACTGTTAGTGCAACTTTGGAACAATTCTTGCATTAAGTTTTGGTCTAATACATTTGGTAAGCTCTGTAGGTCAAGTAAATAACAATGATTATTTAGTTACAACTGCAAAAATGCTGAAAAACTTTCATGTTGGCTCTGAAAGAGAAGTAAAAAAACACATATCCCTCTATAACTGGAGAACGTCGTCCTCTATCCACTGCCCAAAGCAAATTCAGTAGACACATGAGCACCCAAACTTTAAGAAAGGTGGGCTGGTTGGATGAACCTTAACCCAAGATGAGAACAGACGTCAGTGTGATTCTCCGGGCAGTGTTCGACTGGGAAACCTCGAGTTCCAGCATTTGTGTGGATGTTCTTTGACACATACTATCTATTTGTCTAACAGTACCAAACTTCTTCATAGCTAGTGTATTCCCCAAGGACACTAGCTTCTTTTAGCAGGTGCACCCTGCCTCACTGCATAATTTTATAGAACAACTTGCCTAGATCCCACCACAATGTGCGTCTTACACAGATTAAAGGATCTGCTTCCTCCTGTGCATGACCCATCAGGACACCTTCAGAGTCTGATATTATATAATAGGCACTGAACACAAAGTATAGCAGAAGCTAATGATAATATTTAAATGTCTGACCTGAATTCCTATCAATACATTAAGCAGCTGCCGACACATTTCACTAACACCTATTAAAAGTAAGGTTAGTTGATGCTCTTTCTCCTCTCGTGGCCGCCTCAGGTCGTTCAGGCCAGGCAGTGGCCATGCGGGCCAAGGCGTTTGGCTTCAACGTGATCTTCTACGACCCCTACCTCCAGGACGGCTTGGAGCGCTCGCTGGGCGTGCAGCGAGTCTATACTCTCCAGGACTTGCTCTACCAGAGCGACTGCGTCTCCCTGCACTGCAACCTGAACGAACACAACCACCACCTCATCAACGACTTCACCATCAAACAGGTGGGGGGACCGGGAAATTCTGACATGAGGTAAAGGGAGATTGTCTCGCCTTGGCAGGAGCGCTTTCTCCTTGAGGCTGGTAGGACAGCTTCAGACCAGCAGCCGAGTCAGCCAGCTTTGGGTTTATCTAGACTGCCAGCGCTCCTTTGTTGGCAACTTAAAATAACAGGCTGTTAAAGTGAGCTTTTAATGAGTGCTAGGATCAAGCAAAGAAACACAGGTGTTTGGACAATCTCTGAATTCTGATTATATATTTGGGAGTGGATGGTGGTGGAACATGATTCTGAGTTTTTTTTCTTTAGAGTGGTGGGTGGTGGAGGCACAAATCTCTGTGTCAGGAAGGGGCGTAAAAATCTGTGACAAATCAAATATGCGGATCCATCTGCATCTGTAAAGTGGTAGGCAGGGGGTGTTAACATAATCAGGCTGTTCTTCCATGTTGTTTCTGTCCTTTTGTAGCTTTCTAGTGTCTCCCAAACACTGCCAGAGTATATGTGAGTATGTGGGTGTAGGAGCATGTGCAGTCAAAGTATGGTCTGGTGCATGTTTTTCACAAACCATATACAGTACATTTATAGGACAGAAAATATATTTTTATTTTTTAAATGCTAATGAAATTAAATAGTTCTGACCCAAATAGAACACAGTAACTTGACTTTCTTATATATTTAATAAACTGTTTTTTAGCAGTATAACACATGTCTTGTCAAGTTTTTGTCTCTGTAGCACTAAGAATACAAGAAGCGCCTCTACAGTCTTTTCCTGGTCACTGCTGCCACCTATAGAACTTAACCTGTACTGCAAACGTACAGAAGCGCATATTAGTACTTGTGTTTATCTTACAGAAACAAAAATTGAGCTGTTTGATCTTAAGCATTATCATGAATGCAGCCAACTTGCACATTTGTCATATTTATATGGTTCAGATCATTTAAAGATTTTAATATTAGACAAAGTTCTCCTTAGTAAATCAGAAAAGCAGTGTTTAAGTGATGATTTCCACCCCCAACCCCCAGTCTTTTCACTAGACACACCCACATCTGATTCCTGCCAGTTCTGCTGAATCAAGAATCACATAAATAGAACCTGTCTGACAAAGTGAATTAGGCAAAAAAATCTAAAAAAAAAAAAAACCTCCCCCAAAACCCCACACATCACACCATGCTCTGCAGAAACTCTCACTCGGGCCACACTCTAAAGATAAAAACTCAGAATCATGTTCCACCACCATTCGCTCCCACATCTTGCAGTCTGGAAAGGGTTAAAAAGCAATTTCTAGGGCTTTAGAACTCCAGCGAACCGCAGAGAGAGTCATTATCCACAAATGGAGAAAATTTGGAAGAGTGGTGAAACTTCCCAGGCGTGGTCAACCTACCTAAATTACTGCAAGAATAATTTTGAAGAGAACCCAGGACAACATCTAAAGAACTGCAGGCATTGTGTGCCTCAGAGTTCATGATTCAACAATAAGAAAGAGACTGGGCAAAAAAAAAGACATCCATGGGAGACTTCAAGGAGAAAGCCACTGCTTACCAAAAAGAATGCTTGCGAACAAACATCCTGATGATCCCTTTTTGAAAGGTTTGAGTCCCACTCAATAAAAGAACCATCATAGCAACAGTCAAACATGGTGGTGGTAGTGTGATGGTCTGGGGCTGATTTGCTGCTTCAGGACCTGGGTGACTTGCTGTAGTAGGTGGAACCATGAATTCCTTCCTCTGCCAGAAAATCCTGAAGTGGAATATCCAGCTATCAATTTAAGCCCTGCAGCTCATGCACACTTGGGTTATGCAGAAGTTCAGTGATGTGAAGCACATCAGGAAGTCAACCTCCGACTGGTTTTGCAGTGGCCGGGTCACAGTCCAGACTTAAATGTGATTGAGGTGTTTTGGAATGACTTTAAAAAGCCTGTTGATGTTCAAAAATCCTCCAATGTGGCTGAATTAAAGCAATCCTGCAAAGAAGAGTGCACCAAAATTCCTCCACAACAACGTGAAAGACTCAATATCAGTTATCACAAACACTCGATTGCAGGAATAATTTTTTCACATAGGAGTCAGGTAGATTTTTTACCTTAATAACTGAAATCATCACATAAAAGCAATTGAATTTGAAGGCATCGGTGTCATTTACGTGTCCCGTTTTATTATTAACAGAAGCCTTGTTTTTGCTTCCCGTGCAGCATTGAGCCAGTGACAGCAGCCCTCTGTGTGTGCCATCACAAAAGCACGCATGCTGTTATTTGTTGAAGTGAGACATTTTTATCGAGAGATGAACACTGAATGCTGCGCTGCTCTGTGTGTAGATGCGTCAAGGTGCTTTCTTGGTCAACTGTGCACGTGGGGGTCTAGTGGATGAGAAGGCTTTGGCTCAGGCCCTGAAAGAAGGAAGGATACGGGGCGCCGCCTTGGACGTCCATGAGTCAGAACCTTTCAGGTGCTTTCAGCATCATCCTTAGTTTATAAGTTCAGTTCAATAGAAATAATGTTTTCTTCCTCTTGTATTTAACTTCCCCGTTTCTGTCTTTATTTGCTGCTCAGCAGTTTTTCCCAAGGTCCGCTAAAAGACGCCCCCAACTTGATCTGCACACCCCACACTGCCTGGTACAGCGAGCAGGCATCGCTGGAGATGAGAGAGGCCGCTGCCACAGAAATCCGCAGAGCCATAACCGGTACCGACACGTCTTAGATGGCACACATTCCCACGCTCGCTCTCAAATTTCTCATTTCTCTGCTCACCATAGCTCAATCTCGCCCCGACACAGGCCGTATTCCCGAGAGCCTCCGAAACTGCGTCAACAAAGAGTTCTTTGTTACCACGGCGCCTTGGGGAATGATAGAGCAGCAGCAGCCTCAAGTTCACCCAGAGATCAACGGTGCCGCCTACAGGTAGGAGGTGGATTTATGTGAGCCCAGCATAACGCAGAGATCACCTGTCATTTTGAGCGCCTGCAGTAGTGAGGTTTAATACGTGGGGGAGGGGTAGCTTAAATATTCATATGTGTGTTTGTAACAATTCTGCATAATAGGCTGGGTCCTAGTTTTTGTGGCGTATTTATACGTAGAACTTGGCCCAAATTAATGAATCCCATGTTAAGTTCTCAGTCTCTATATTGTCTAAACCAGACTGAACTGCTTCTCTCACACAGCCGAGTGAACCAAACCATGGTACAGGCCATAGCAACGGGGGGAATGCAGGACAAATTATATACCTAATTCCCAACCAGGTAAATGAATACCATCACTGCTGGCCAACAGGCCAGGGCAAATGAATAACATCATGAATAAAACCCCTGTGAAACCTGTAGCCTTTTTCTGCCTCTCACTCTAACCTCCCTGTTCTGTAACTGTACCCACTCTACCCAGCATCCCATCGATTCCCCCAGCTCGCCCTCCCCTCCCTGAAGTAGTGGAAAGCAGTACACAGGGTCACTCTAATGTTTGATGTTTTGTTTTGTTTTTTGTAAGGAAGTGGTACATCTGTAGTTATGTATGTGGACTGAGTAGAAAAAGGCGCCATTACTCTTACAGTTCACGAGGGAAGACTGAAAGCAGGAAGTTGGGGGGAGAATAAAAGTTCTAGAAAGGGATTTGGCGGAGAAATCTTAATTTATAATATTTATTTGTGATTTTGTTTGCAGTGAGCGTTTTCCCCCCACATTTCCCCGCCCTATAATAAAGGATCAATTCACCCAAACTGCTGTATTTATTTTTTCTGGGAGGAGCTATAACCAGTTCACTGAAATCTTAAATCCTAAAATCTGATCAAATAAAAAAGGTTCACACTGCAGGTAAAAGTGGACACAAATCTAATTCTTTCTTTTTTTTTCAGAACAGCACCAAACACACAGAATCAGATATTTTCCAGTTTAATTTAGGGCCATTTCCATATGTGTTTTGCTACGCGGTGAGCACAGCCAACACTAAAACCTGCCATAAGAGGTAGTCAGCCTGCTCTCATCAAGTCTGTGATTGAATGAGGTCAAGTTGGCAATTACATGAAATCTATTTCCATCTACAGAGAGAAACTCACATTTAAATGTTACTGTTATCTCAGGCATGAGATATGAGGCTATTTAGTGTTCCTGTTTGCTACAGTAGTTTTGTTGTTCTATGTTACATGCCTACGTTTAAATTCTGTTTTATATTTATTCTAGTGCTGTCAGTGTTAATCTCGTTAAAATGACGTTAACGCCATAACCGCATTAACGCGATTAACTCTCTGTTAGTGAGTTAACGCAGATCGCCCCGTGCGTGGGGCTGCATGACGTCAACGCGTTAGCGCGGTTAGCTCGTTAACGGCCGTTAATGCGTTTATGACGTTAACGTCATGTTCGCGAGATTAACGCTGACAGCACTAATTTAATCTTTAATTTAATCTTTAATCTCACACACACAACCGATTAATTTAACTGAATGGATCACACACTCACCTCAAAAATGGTTGTTTTTGCATTCTGGACAATTCCCGACAAGGTTTAGCCACTTTTTTTTTTTTTTTTTTTTTTTTTTTTAAAGAAGCTGGATCTGATTACATCCATATTGAATACTAAGGCTCTGCAGTGTGAACGCAGCCTATCTCTCCTGTTTTGTTGTTGTCATGGGGTTTTTGTTTGTTTGTTTGTTTGTTTGTTTGTAGTTTGGGCGAATGACCCTTTTAGTTCAGATAAGATCCCCTGACATTATCATTTAGAGTTGTGGTCAGAAGTGTACATGCACTCATCATGAGCATGAAAGTCATGGTAATTTGGGGCTTTTAAAGATTTATTTTTCCAGGTTGGAATCATTGTGCATCTTTAATGACTCTTAAAAAAAGCCAAAACAAGAACGTTCCAGTTTAAATTGATTTTGGATTTTCTCTAAGACACACAAAAGTATACATGGTTTTCAGAAGGCCAGTCCAGAAGCGTAATGCTGGAGGTCGTCGTCCTCCGTCATTATTCTATCCAGTTTGTTCGATGTTCTAGCACCACTGGCAGCAAAACAGCTTCAGAGTGTGATGTTGAAAGCCTCACCTTCACTTCTTAAAAGATACCTCACGTCACTGTGGCCAAATAAGATCAATCTGTGTCTCGTCTGATCATAAAACGTTTCTTAAGGAGCCATTCTGCATCCTGTGTGGGCAACGGCAAATTTAAGTCGAGCTTGAAGGTGCCATTTTTTTTGCACAGGAGCTTCTTTCTTGGTCAACGTCTTCTGGGTCCAGTGGGATTCAGCCTTGGTGGTTCCTGGGCTTTTTCTGAACATCCTGACTAATTTGGGTCTTCTTCCAGGCCTCAGCAAAGTGGTGACACAACTGAATAAGTTCTGATCCATAAATGTTGATGCTCTTAATAATCTGCAGTTATTTGGAAATGACTTCACTAGACAATTCCAACTCTAACTGTAGAAATCTACAGTTCTCTTTCTCAGATCTTCACTCAGTTCCTTGGGCTTTCCATTTGCTCCGATCAATCCAGTGAATGATGTCAAACAAATCCTTTCAGATCCCGATCACCAACGACAAATAAACAGCCTTTGGCCTCGTCAAGTTAAAGCTTGGAGCTTCTTTAATAAGTAGAGCCATTGGCACCACTTGTATGCATATATTTATATAGCCCCAAAGTACCATGACATTAATCCCAGGATGATGCTCCTGTACCACTTGTACCATTATTGGACATTTTTAAGCTGATGTTACTCAGTAAGTTCACTGCATATCAGTTGTTAAGTTTCTGTTGGTTTATTTGCATCCTCAGTGCGTCATCGTGCATTACTTATTTCACATTACGTTTTTAATCATGATTTTTTTTTAACATGCAGTTTCATACAGAAATGATCCTGAGTAACAAATATTAGTTTTTTATGGAAAAAAAAGTGTAAAATGTGGAAAAATAACACTTATTAAAAGGTTAGCTCCTTAACATATCTGCTGATCACGCTTTATCTATCTCCAGATTTCCTCCTGGCGTGGTGGGCGTCGCCCCCGGTGGGATTCCCGGACCTATGGAGGGGTTGGTTGCCGGGGGAGTTCCCATCGCCCACACCCTGCCCCCTGGCACCCATCCGTCACAGGCCACCTCCCCCAATCAGCCCTCCAAACACGGCGACCCCATGAGAGAGCACATGACTGAGCCATAGGACTGCTGCTGTAGCTGAGAAGAGGAGGAAACTAAAAATTGATGTAAACTAAAAAAACAAACAAACCCAGCGACCTAACAACTCAACCATCCGACTATACGTACGCTTGATTTCAGCCATCCGAACCTACCAGCAGACTGCCTGCCGGGCAACGTTTCACACTTTTTCTTCTTTCTTTTTTTTTTTTGTGAAACCACTAAGTGAGGACAGTGGACGTTAATACACAAATGAGCTGCCACACGGATCTGAAATCTCCCCTCCCTTCATATCTTTTATCTTCATTCCTTCTCGATTTACACAATGCTTTTTGTTTTAGTATATTTTAGGGAGATTTCCTCCTGACTTATGGGACACGTTGACAGTAGCCACGTGCAGGATGGAAACCCTCCCCTCAAGCTCAACAGGACGACTCTGTTTCCTTCAGTCGCGCCCATTTCAGCACAAACATACCCTGTGTTTAGTTTTTTTTTTCTTAGACTTTCTTCTTTTTATCCTATATTACTGTGTTTCTGTTCTTCAGTGTGTGAAAATGAACAGATTTACAGTTTTCAGACAAGAAAAGAAAAACAAACTGCACTCCATCTTTGCCGGCTAGAGGCCGCCTGAGTGAAGAGATGGGATGCGGGGCAGTAGATGTGGAAAAATCATCCTTTCAAACCAAAAAGGAGGAAATATAAAGAATAAAAAATGGCAGGCTTTCATGGTTAAATATCGTACATGGACCGCGTCACTTAAATTATGTATTCCTGTTGTAACTTTTCCAAACTCTGCTGAACTGAGGTACTTTTATTTAGTTAAAGTGGCGAACAGTGTCCCAAATATTATCTGTTTGCATCCAAAGGACCTTTGGAGAAAAAGAAAAAAGCTTCTGAAGTATGACAGCTTTTGGAAAAACAAAAACAGCAAATCTCTTACTGACTCAGGAACAATATAATAACCTTCAATTCTGTCCAAAAAGGAATAGAAAAAAGTTAAAAAAAAGAAAATAGGTCTTGATTACTGCTCCTCACGTCTCCACGTCTTTCTCCATTGTGGTATTTTTTATATATCAAATGTACATTTTTTGATGTTCAAGCTTTTCACTCCTGTTAGATTTGTATTGCCTTGTTAAATGTTCATATAATCGTAGTCTGATGTGACCAACCGCGTCCTCTCCTCCTTATAGTTTCTTCCTCCTTGTTTTTCTGCTCTAATGAAAGCCAGCTGTGGCGCCCTCGGAGGCGTCGAGCCCTCTTGGAACAACGGCAGCCACGTTCATTCCCTTTAGCCCCGTGACGTTAGCAAGAGGCGGCTGCTCACAGATTGTTTGGTTTTTAGTGTGAGTATTTGTATTTGTTTCTTGTACAAGGTGAACATATAGCATACAGTGCAGCTGGAACCAATAAATAAAACTTACTGTTCTGATTGATCGATTGGCTCCGTGGAAGGTTTTTTGGTTTGCTTTTTATATTGTAAGGTAAAGACCTTACTGTTGTACAGTCAGATGACTTTCTATTAGGAAGCACTTGGCAATGGTGGGAAGGAAAATTAACAGGAAGAAAACTGCAGCAGCAGCGCTCTCAGGGATTGCCAGCCAACTGCTACGATCAGGTAGATATGAAGGGGAGAGCAAAGGACACACTGTGATCACGCTACAGTTTTTGTCAAATTTCAACAAAATTGTTTTCTTGATTGTTATGACTGAAGCACGGTAACTGCCGTCACAGTTCCATCACAGCGTTAGATGTATTGCCTGAAACTGCTTTTCCCTAAATCACCGACTGTTCATCCAAACAGTGAACAGTGAAGGGATAAAACATTCAAGTACTATAAAAATTGTCCAAATATCCCTGCCAGTCTCCTCTGGCTGCACAGCTTGTCACTTTGTTCTAGGTTCTAGCCATGGCTCACTTCAATCCATTTATCTTAAGTGCAAAATTCAAATTAGCCCATAATGTATATGCGTTTATATGTATATTAAAAAAAGAAATCTCCCTCTCACCCCCTGGGGGGTGGTATGTTTGTGATAATGAAGCTTGGGCCCTCGATCCGAGTCCTGGGACTTTAATGGGTTCTGCCTTTCTAAGGTTCTGGGATCACGTTGAACTTGACTTTCCACATCTGCTCCAGTTGTTCCTTAAGTTCCTGTTATGTCATTACGGTCTTTGAAATAATTGGGCGGGGGTTCAAATCCCAGTCAGTGCTTGCATCCAGTAATGGTACCCAGGTTAGCCTCCCCCCATGCTACACATGCCACTACCCTCTGATACAGGGGTGTCAAACATAAGGCTCTGATCTAATCCACCAGACCTTATGTGCTCCTTCATATTTGACCACAGAGTTTGACCTTTTAACTGTTTTCTGTAAATTAATGGAAACTTTATATTTGAAACTACAATAACTTAAGATGGACCTTCAATTCACCTGGTTTTAGTTCCACTGGAGGGCGCTATAACCTGAACACATGACAAAAGCTTCAGAAAGTAGGTCCAATTAAAAAAAAGAAAGAAAAAAAAATACAAAAAAAGTGACACACTTAAACCCGTGGACATGTTGAGGACATCATTAGCTGATAAATGAAGTGACAGGAAGCGTTTTAGTTGGACATTCAAAAAGGTTCTTTTATTTTTTTTTTCCTTATTTTTGCCCATTTCTTTCTGTTACACTCTGTTTAGCGAAGTCACGCCTAAATCCACAAACCATCGTAGTCACAACTGCAACTATTGCATAAATACAAAGCAACATACAGGTGATGCTCAAAAACGTGTATGACTTGAATGAAACACAAAGAGGTTACAGAGTGCGATGGCGAGAGGAAACAAGATGCAAACACTCACAGCAAAAAGAGAGAGAAAGGAACAACTTTTTTTTCTTTTTCTGTCAGCTTTGGTTTTACGTGGTGAAATCTGTCACTAATCAAATAAAAGTGGGTTCACATGATGACAACAAACGGGCTTTACAGAGGCAGCGATGTCACGTGTACCATGAGGGTGACCTCCACAACACAGGCTGTAAGGAAGGTGGGGGCAAACAGGAACTACAAGACAGCGATTAGACAAGCGTGACTCAGAGTGGGTGGGGGGTGGGGTTATGTCCACACTCACCTGCCCAGAAAAAATAAAAGCACCAGGTTTTAGGCATCCATATGAGGTACTAAAAACCATACGCAAGAAACCCAAGTAAACTTTTTCATTGATGGTTATGATTGGTTCTTTCCTCGCGGCAACAGTGTTTCTGTGCAATGTGTCTTCATCAAGATTGAATCATTAACAAAACCACAAAAAAAAGAGAGAAAATAATATACAGAAAGCTCTTATTAGCTCAAATAAGTTTCCAAACAATAAATATGTAGAATAAATTCATAGAAGATAAAACACACACACACGACTTCAATCAGTCTGAAAAAGGTAAACCAAGAGATCCAACATGAACGTTAGTGCGCTAAAACTTAGTGAGTGTAGATTTGACTTGTGAAGGGAACATCTCCCTTTTCAAGAGCTTCATATGTGACCTCAATTCAAGCAATGATACTGTATTTATATAGAAATGTTTTAATAAATGTGCAGTGCTTAGTATTAAGGATTAAAGTCATTTGTGATTACAGAATCTCTCATTTTTTTCATTAATCTTCTGGAGATAATAAGATTTATTGGCTTTGTCCATGCCTGTTTGAAAACAAAAAGCCAAACAAGCCAACTCTTATCTGGAAAAAACTTGGATGTGCGCTTCTTTTTTTCCCCTGTGCCCATATTGAATGGATATAAAGTATTTGAATCACTGCTGGTATATTTCCTTACACTCTTTTTTTTTTTGTTTGTTTGTTTTTTACAACCACATGCATTTACATCTATGGATAAAGATATTTTTTTTCTTCCTTTACATTTAAAACTCAAATCAAAAATTTGCATTCGTAAATCTTTTTTCTCTCCGTTAGACTCAGGCTGGTCTGAGAAAAGTGTTTGTGTATATCCGAGCGCCTGTGTTTGCCAGAAGAGCAGTAGTGTCTTCTGTCAGGTGGAGGTCTGGTGGGGGCTCGTGGTTCCCTGCCCTCTCCTGAAGATTTTTCACAGTTTGTCCGTGTCAGGAAAGGGGGGGGGATACTACAACAACAACAACAACAACAACAAAAATCCCCAACTCAAAGAAAAACTAAAAGAGAGAGGATGGGGGAGGAGTCCTGCCCCCCAGCAGATAGCCTCCCTCCACTTCAGCTTCGTCACTCCTCGTCGTCGTCGTCTTCCTCCTCCTCGCCGTCGGACAGCGAGGCGCAGGGGCGGATCTGGCGGTAGCCGTCCAGCCACTTCTCCACCATCTGAGTGACGAGCGGGTGGTTGCGGCGGCGGGAGCTTTTCTGAAGTGCAACCAAAACGCCGCCCTCTGTCACGCAGCAGTCCAGCCACTCCCGCAGGAGCTTCTCCTGTTGCTCTTCATTACCCATCTGAAGGACAGGAGGGGACAGACATGACCATCAGAGGGAGCCCTGTCACCTCACTACAGCCCAAACACCGCTTACTCCTTCTGAACAGTAACTCAGAACAGAATAAGAGAAGCAAGGCTTACAAAGTGACACGGTCCAGACCACATCTACCTGCTGCTGAACTTCCTGAAACTGCTAGTCTGTAGTACAGGTTCTTCCCCCACGGCTTTTCTGTATGTAACACATTTGCATAACGCCTCTAGTGGAGAGTTTTAATACCCACAAACAAAGAATGGCAGCTCCAAGTCTGACATTGTTATTTACTGGCTAGATCTGCATTTGCTAACTCCTCAGATACTTTTTCCTTTCTGCACGTCTGACACCAGAGGAACTGCAGACTGAGTGAATTTCTTTATTATTGGCAGCACCGTCCCTGGAATAGTAATTAAATCCTTAATGTTAAACGCTGTGTGGCTATGCTGCTGTTAGTTTTGATCATTTAACCATTGCCCACAGCTACGTCAAAGCTGTATTTCAGAGGAACCACCGCCACCAGTCCAGTAAACAACACTGGAAGTGGGTCACTGTGTTTTCATACCACTTTTTATGCTGTAGAAAGAACTGAACTTAACTTCAGTGTTACTAATTAGCAAATCTCTGTGTGTTTGTTGCACACATATAGTTTATGGAAGCACCACACTAACCAGCTGATAACAACTCTCCACCCTTTGGTCTAACTGTGGCCATTTCTGGCTCCTCCAACTAACAGCGCTGGCCAAAACACTCACACTGAGGCTCCAAAATCTGGAGTCCAGAAATCATTGGGTAACATCATGATGGGTACATCCATCTTTTAAATACAGTCTAAGCAATTTATTTTGTAGTTTCTAAAAGCAGGTGAAAAGCTAAAAAGAAAAATGGAAAGCATACAGGCGACATCTGTCCTTACAGTCTTTTCCTGTACCTGTAAATGAGCATAATGCAGCCACTTAATAAAGTAGAAAAACACCACGTCTGTTGAGTGCCTTACTTCCTGCGCTGAGAGGAAGTGAATGTGAAGCAGCTTCCTCTCGCTGTCGACCAGAGGCAGGAACGTCACTGTCACGTCATCATCCGTGTTGAGGTTGGCGCCTGCGCCGCGATTGTCAAAGCCATCGTTCTCCATGGCCACCAGCGCTGAGAAGTGGCCCCGCGTGTATCCCAGAGCGATGGGGCTCTTCCAGCAAAAGCTCTGCTCCCACAAAAGAGGCAGGTACACACCTGGAGGGACGTAAAAGACACAAATTCACTATACTATATCTTTTGGTACTGCATAAATATATACTGTACAAATATATAAAAAATAGACTACTACACTACTGCAGCAGAGTCTGAAACGCTGACAAAAAAGGATGCACATCTGTTTACTACTTTTGTGAGCAAACTTAAAATATTTAATTTGAATATTTTGAATTATTTTGGTGTTATGATTCAAGGAGAAGATGAATTATGACGTACTTCCTTTAAATAGAAAACAAAAAAGATCCAAACAACTACTAAGTACACCTCATGGTTTAAAGGTTTGTAACAGCGATAACTTGACATAATATTTTCCGCTACGACTTTATCCATCTCTCACATCATTGTGGGGGAATTTTAGGTCACGTTCCTTTCAGATATAGTTTCATTTTATAGAAGTTTGTGGACATTCGTTCATGCACAACTCTCTAAAGATCCCACCCACAACATTGTAGTCAGTTGGAGATTGGCATGGTCTTTTACTAGTCCATTGCAACAGCTTGTGCATTTTCCAGTAGTTCATTTTGCTCAGTTAAGTTCCTAACCGAATTACATAAACTGGAAGTACCATAATAGGAGCTGTTTGACTTCTCCAAAGGCGTTTCAACACTTTCACTACCTCCTTTAGGATAGGATACACTGGGGCTGTCTTTTATGAAAGGATCATTGCGATGGACCATCTGACCATGTATTTTCCATTTCATATCATAATCTGTTTTGTATTTTCAGCAATAACCTGTTAAATGCACAGCTAGACTCTGAAGATCATGCTGCTGGAAGAAAATCTGCTTCTCATCCAGCCTTGCAAGCACTCTCTATGTCTGATCTCTAAATCCAGATTATGAACTAATTTATCAAAGTGTATTCTGTATAATTCCAGGGCATTAGTAAGGTCTGTTTTACTTTGAGTCAGCTGGGATAATTGATGGATGGAGAATATTTTGCTTCAGTCATAGAACTTCTAAACAAGCAGGAGGGAAGGATTTACAATCAATCACTACATAAAACATGATGCATTTAATTTCACACATTTACAAAGTGATTATTGTGATGCCACAATTACAGGGGAATAATCAGCCTTCTTTGGTGAGCGGTGCAGGTTAGTGTCTCAAAAACGAGCAGACCCAATGAGGAAGCTGAGGAAGAGCTTGATGCAAACCTACCAATCAAAATACAGCGCACGCTCACGTTTTACACGTTCCCCTCTGAAAATGCCATTTAGGTCAACAAGAGGAGGCTGAAGGAGGATTAAAATGTGCATGAGGTCCTGAGGACTGAGACTCAGGTGGAGCTCGGGATTTATTCAAAGAAGAGCTGCATTGTTATGAACTAATCCACCATATAAAGCTGAGATCTGTACGTACACAAACACTATTTACAATTATTAATGAGCCGTCTGTCTGTTAATGAATACACTTTTATTTGTTCTAGAAATAGCAGAGAGAAGTCGTTCACTGTGTGCACACTGCTGAGGAAAAATAAACAGCTCAGTTAATTAATTTCTGCTTTGTTTCATGAAAATCCCAGTATTAAAGTAAGTTGGGCTCAGCTTTAAATGCTCAAGTGAAGAGTTTTAGGACAGAGCCAAAGTGTTGGCATTGTACTCACAGTTTTGAGCCATCGAACCAAAATTCCAATTAGGCACTCCTTCTGATAAAATCTCCCCCTCTCAGTCTAAATAAATAAACACTCCTAGAAGCAGCGATCACAACCAGAACAGGCTTTTTTTGGTGTTCGATTTAGGGGAATTTGCAGTAAAACTGCATGCCATGAACATTAGCAAATCATGCTCGAGTGACTGAGATATTTTCCTCTTCAAAGGGAAACTCCTGCAAACACATATGCCAGAAGGTCAGCTGCAAAAACAGCACTATCCACAACTGGCAGTCACAAAACTGACACTGTGCCTCTTTAGTAAATCCAGAAGCTTTTTAATGATGAAAGAAAGCTTTGCACTGCTGCTGACTGTTAGCAAGTCTGGCTCTAGATGTTGACTCGTCTTTAAAATCCAGATTTTTGTAATGAATTGATATTTTTCACAACAACACGGTAAGGATATGTTATAGTGACTTTAGATGCACGTTTTGCCATCTACCCTCTGCACATTGTAGTTTCAACACAGCAGACACACTGGTGTCACACTGTTGAGGTGATTAGTGTACGGTCATTCAGATTCTCAGCGCACCCCTTTGACAGCTGATATGAGGCATTTGTGTTTAAATGTGGTTGTGTGCATTATAGACAAACATCTCCACTTTGGTCTCAGCCGTTCAAATGACATTGTTCCAGATGTCTTGTGGTTTATTTAGCTCTAACACTGTGAACCCAAGCTCTGTTCTTTTTAGGAGAGAGGTGCATCATCTGACCACTTCTGGGAAGATTGTGGAATTTGTCTGAACACATACCTGAATGCTTCAGACCAGCAAACTGCTAGAACATGTGCTTTTATAGAGGTACTCTCACTCTCAAACTGTCTTTTTCACATACACGACTTTGTTTTACACAAGCTATTATAATCTAGAGTAGGTACTAACTAACCCTCACAAACAAATGTAGAAATAGTTATGAGAACACTGTGTGCTGACATGCATCAGGGTAAAAGAATAGCTCAGCAGAAATTAAAACACTCAAAGTTACCCTGGATTGAAAGCAATGCTTGAATAAATGTCTCACAACAGTCAATGCTGACTTGCAAATACCAGACTGATTATAAAACAAAACAATGCAGGATGACAACAGAGAGTGTCTCATATTTCTTTAGTTCCATAACACACAAAGGCAGCTCTCGCATCTCATGAATACATCTGTAACCAACACCGCTATTGAGGAGCCTGTGTGTTGCTACTCTCCTAGTAACCGCTGTGGTTTTACTGGGTTCACTTGTTCACCACTTTAATTGAGGTACCCCACCCCTCTCTATAGGCGCCCATAAGCACCCCTTCCTCTGTGTGTGTGTGTGTATGTGTGTGTATACATTGGCTCCTGGCAACAGTAAATCACTGGTCCATCAGGCAGGCTTTACCACAAGCAGTTGGCCCTTACATAGCACTTTCATCATCCCCTGTACAGCATCACTCAGCAGGCAAATTGAATCCAGACTGTTTTTACTGCTAGTTGTAAAGGTGGCCCCCGCTCTCGGTGCTCTCAGGATTGTTTGACTGTTGATGATTTTCATATGTTCAGCTGTATCTGGATGTCTGCAACCACAATATGAATTCTCCGTGCTCCTGTGACTCATCCTGGCATTTTATGTTGTTTTTGTTATTTTGAGCAACATGGAGCAAAATTACCCATTAAATGAAAGACACTAGACTAATAACTGTTGTAAACAATAATTACTGACGGATCAGAGGGGCAGTTATGTCACCTATGAAAGTTATACACACACACACACACACACGTAGGCTGGAACTATTTCACAAAGGAAGTCTAGTTCTACGCCCGCTGGAATGATGCTGAGCACAACAGCAAACAATATTTGACCGAAACGTTATTTCTTGCTCACCTTGAAAACGGGTGTACCCGAGTGTTTCACCACGGAAACTTTTGTAGTACTTTACTCCATAGACGATGATAGGCCTACGAAGTATGTGTGCAAGAACGAAAATGTGGGTCTGTTCCAAGCTGGATCCTGGCTGCAAAAGAAAAAAAAACAAAAAAAAACCCACACACACACAAAGTCAGAAAAATACAAAACAATGCTCTAGGACTCAGGGAAGCGATAAAATGAGGGTTCTTGAATGCAGCCAGGATACTCTAAATGTGAAAACATGGAAAACACTAATTTAATGAGCTTTCACACCCAGATATAATAACAGCCCACCCAAATACTTAGTCAGTGAGGTCACAAAGAGCAGTGAGAAGCAGAGAAGTGCTGATGACAGACAGGATGCACTTTCAGAGGGCATTACAGGTTAAGTATACTGCACCAAGAGCAGTAAAACTTCTTGCATAATTCATGCATTATTAGCGTGTCACGTTTTAAGCACATCAAGCTCCTGTCCTCCATGTTTGTGTGTGAGTGTGTTTACTTCCATGTACATGTACCTGGCTGGCAAGGGACAGTATGAAAGCCCAGTCTTCCTGCCACTGTTCCTCTCGGAGGGAAAAGTGCAGACCAAAGCTTTGGGAATACCACGACTCCCACTCCTTCCAGCGGGTGTAAAACCTGCACAGACACACACAGATACACACGCACACAAACTGTTTAGCCTGTGACATTATTTGACCTCTGTGCAGCAAGGCGTGGGCTTGCAATTGACTACATTCCTCCACGTCTGTCGTGGTTTGGGCTGGATGGCATTACTCATTATATCTAAACAGCAATTATCTCACCAAAAAACCCACTGTTTCTCACAAATAGACGTGAGTCACGCTGGGCTTTGGAGTCAGACTCCGTGCCCCTCCACTCAAAAATGTGTTTTCTTTTTTTTTTTCTTGTCTCTTTCGTGTACAGAACAATTTATGTGAGTTTGACACCAGAAGCCTGCATTCAATTTTCATCTGCCTGAACACTTGCACCTATGAGCATGTTTTGGAACATCGCAATCATTTTGGAGCCACTCGTGATTCAGGGTGCAACTTAAATAATTTCGTGTGGAAGTTTAAAGAAGAGAATGTTTTGGGGGTTTTTCCAATTAAACTAAGAAGATGCAGGAGTCATAACAGATCTTTGAGGACATAAAATAAAAAATAAAAAAGCCCTTGTTTCTTATTTCCAGATCAAAGTCTCTGATCTCTTTATAAGCTGCCAATCTAAACTTAGGATTCGTAGACCCCGGTCTCTAAACCACATGTTCCATAGACACGCTGAAGGAAAACAAAATGTAACTTGACACTTTTGAAAGTCAAGCTTTTGTTTTCCTTCAGTGGTGCACTTGAGCTCAGTCATTTCATGATCCACGAATGTTTCTGTGTAAAAAGGTCAGCTAAGCAAAAAAAAAGGAAACACTGGACGAGACAGGGATGTCTGTCGGCAATAAGTTAAGAGTAAACATATCCCTGTTTATTCAGACTATAGTACTTAAAAAAATGTAGCTTTTTTGCCTATTTAAGTTGTCTCCTAACTACTAGTCATTAAAAAGAGCAACATACAAGCTCCAATTTCTGTTAACACCTGTCTAAATTTTATGTTTGGTGCACTGTGTCATTCAATGTAACATAATTTGAATTGATTTAAAAGACAAGTGCAAATCAGCTCGAACTACACACTTAATCCCCGTGGCGTCGCCTTACCAGTGAGAACAGTCGTGCAGACTGTCATGGAGGGTTTTGCGGAGTACTGAGTCCTTGTCATAGATGCCCCACGTAGCCTGCAGCACAGAGTCAAGGAGGCAGTCCCCAGCTGTGCGGTTCCACAGGGCATAAAGTCGACTGTCTAACCTAGTCCCCAGCTCCAAGGACCAGTTGATGATGGGAGACTCCTCTTCAAGTTCTAAACAAGAGGGGAGACGGCAGGATATCTCTTCAAAAATTAAATAAAATAAAATTCAAGCAATAACGATAATAATAAGGAAACATGCTGTACAAGGAAGTGCAACAGTGTGGTTGTACAGTGGTCATGGTGTTTCAGTATTAGCTAATGCCTGCTCACATCTGTGAAAATAGTAGTGACATAACAATGTCTGCTTGTAAACCACAAAACCAAATGACTACTCAGGCTCAGGTTATGACAGGAAACCTAAAAAGAGATAAAGACAGAAATAAAGATACTGTATGGCCTAATACAATGTTTGACACACACTGAGACGGTGAACCACAGAGAAGGCTACACAAAAGAGCAGGGACCTTCAGGAAGAAAGGTGACGGCTTTTATAAGCGTTTATATGTGACCTGAAAGGAAGTACAATCATTCAGCAATGATCAAAGAAATTCCTAAAACTCATTTAGGCTGATTAGGACAAAGGCAACTGGTACATATCCTGAAGTGAGAGCACTTGGCAGATTGACAAACAGGAAGAAGAAAAAAAACTGTTTGCAAGCAAGAAAATACCAGTTAGACAACATAGCCAGCCTTCTGCTGCCTCCCTGTTATAGTATACAGTTTGTGAGGGGACTCCCCTTGTGTGCCAAGCAGCCAGACCATCAGGGGATCTGGTTTCTCTCTCACATGCTAAAAATAAGTGCATGGATACTTGAGGACGGCATGTGATATGTGTTCATAAAGCAGAAAAGAGTAAATATTTCCACCTTTTTGTACGTCTCGGTCCAGCACCTCATCAAACAGTTTTTCCTGAACTGCTGGAGGCAAGTCCTCAATGTCTGAAACACAAAGAAGAGAAATAGGAGCAGGTCTTGGTTTGATTTACATTTTACCCTGATAGATGTGTGCATCTTTGTTTTAACTACCTGTAAAACTTTACTAAAATGACAGAAAAATTTCTCTGACTCATTTCAACTCAAGCCACCATGTTTTGTTCTCTTCACAACAGCCCGTGGCTTTCACTCTCTGCCCTGAGCTCTGCTCAGCACAGTAGCTTATTCTTTAGCTAAAATAAATGAATGCATTGACTTAGTGGAACTGAACAGAATGGGTTTCTATAGTGGCCAGAAGCCAAGGTCGGCATGTCCTGAACACTCTGCAAAACAAAAATCCTTAGCTTAGCTACCAGCTTCAGACTGAACCACTAGATCAGTTCCACACAGTACAATTCAACAGAAATAGCACTGAATGCCTGCAATTTTACCAAAACACACTGGCAAAACACTAAATATGGCTTTGCTATGAATGAAAGTCAAGCATGGCTGGTGCATAGTTGGCAGTACGTGGTATTTTCAGTTTGCTATTACAATACACAAACAATGTAGCCTCCATGTTGTGGCAGCTGGAAACAGACAACCGTGGCATTATGTCCCCGCAGCGATCGAGCAACAAGCAATCTTATACGCCAGAAGTAAACAAAACAAGCATTCTGATACACACTCGGAAAGCCAGACGGAATGGCTTGGCTGGGTTTATTCAGCTACAGACACTTTGAACGGCTTCTGGAATTTATGTTATGATATTTTGTAAACTGTTTTTTTTCTGGCTGCATTTACTCGTTTGTCTGCTAATGCAGTGCTGACCTGCAGGCAGGGTGAATGTCACTAGATCGGTGAGGAAATAGCAGGTGAAGTCTCCCTTGCGCTGGTGAAGAGAGGCGGCTACCTCACGACGGATCTGCTCTGTTAGCTCGGGACAAACCATGGCTGGAATACACTTGGCTGCCTGTTGGGATACCTGCAGAGAGGAGAGCATATAGAGAGAGAATTTAAATCTACATAAAGCGTACAGGATGCACAGAATAAGAAAAAAACAAGAGCATTTCCTGCAACTACAAAGAACCATAAAACCACAAACTAATGCAAAACCAACTGAATGCATTGCTCCACCGAGGCCTAAGAAGAATAAAATTTAACAGTCACAGCTTCAGCGCCCTGAAAGTCACTTGACTTTGATAATATCTGATGGAGTGAACAAATCCTTTTTGTCTGATACGTTATGTCAATTTAGAGAGGCCAAGAACAAGAAAAGAAGTCAGTTCATTTTTATATTCTTACCTAGACTGAAAAACCAAAACCTTCTATGAAGAGAGAGATTATGAGCAAAGCGGTAAAATTATGACTGTGTGAAGCATCCGATTTATCTCTCCTTTTAAATAAACCTAGTAAATTTCTGGAGATGCCATTTAAACAAATTCTACCACATTCGCTGTCTGAATACTTGGGAAAGTCATTCATTTTGGGGTCTGTAGGCAGAAGACTTAGCTCACTGTGTTCTGAGCTAATTTTACTTTCACTAATCAAATCTAAATCACCTCCAGGACACAGCAAGTTCACGCAGGTGTCAGCTTTGGGGCGTTTCAGAGACATGATCCAGTGGTTACTCACTAACCCTGTTGGAAAAGAAACTGGGGCAGCGGCTGAGTGTGGGTGAAGAGGTGTGTGTACAGATAATCCGGGATCACAGTGCTGAAGGCAAGAGGGGTGCAATCAACATCAGCACATGCACAGTTCAAGCAGACACACATGAACTCAGCGAGCCTCACTGCACAGACACACCAGGATGCTGAACATATAATACCAATGCTATTAAATAATTACTGACAGAGGAACATATTATTATACAGTTTGTGGAACAGGAGTGTGCAGCTGAATTTAGTCCCTCTCTTTCCTAAAAACACTCTGGTCCTAGGACTTCTCCTGGCTGATCTCACTAAATGAGAGTAGGAGAAGAAGCTTGAAGCCAATTCAGAAATAAAACTACATTTACTAGGTTGAGTAGAAGAGCTCAACCAATAGTATTTTTCTTATTTAATATTTATTTAAAGTATCCATGTGTAGGTGTTATCTAATTAAATTAATTGTTTTTTTTTTAGATTGAGCCTAATTTTACTTTCCATCCATGCATTTTCTTAATCGCATCTCCAGCTAGGGGCATGGGGTGTATGAGTCTGTCCCAGCTGAGCCTGAGTGAGAGACTGGGTACACCCTGGACTAGGTCTGCACAATAAATCGAATGTCAATCACGATTGTGATTTTGGCTACCCACAAAACAAATGAACACAAACAGCCGACACTGAAAATGTGTGCTTCAACAATACAAAGAAAAACCAGATCAAGCGCTCCCTAAATTACAGTTCGATGACGTGCCTGCCTGTGCCAGTCGTAGTGGTTTTCCCTGTATTATGCAGCATGAAGTTTCCTGGATGTAGCCTGGACAAGTAACACTACATTAAAATGACAAAACTACAAAACAAAAATTAAGTGTCTGGCACAGCAGAAGGTGAAGAACCTGTTCCCAGAAGTGGATCATCATTGGTTGGTTGAAAATATTTCAGATTTAGGGCGAGTGGTATTAACCAAGAATGAACCATATTCAAAGAGTCCTGTAGAGCTGCGTCTGCACGACAAACCAACACAACTAACCCATTCAACCACCTGAAAACACACCACTAACTACAGTGTAATCAATACACGAAGGCCAAGAAAAATAATTAAATGGTTGCTAGTATGAATTGTCCATCATCAAGCAGCAAAACAATGCAACGGAAATAAAGGAGCAGTGTAGGGGAGTGTCATTTATAAATAAAACATTTTGTCGCTAAAATCAATAAATAATTCAGTAGATAACGGTGATCTTATTATTGATCCAAACAATTGTGATAACCATTTTGGCCATAATTGTGCAACCCTACCCTGAACATGTCACCAGTACATGTAAGCAGCGCTAACACAGACACAGACAACCATTCACACTCTCACATTCACAACTGCAGCTAATTGTAAAATCGCCAGTGAGTCTAACAGGTATATTTTTGGACTGTGAGAGGAAAGCAGAGCACTTCGAGGACACTTGTACAGACAAAAGAGACCACCATGGTTGTGTGTTGGTTATATGCAAAGCTTTGCAGACTATCATTTACAGTTGAGTACATCCTACAAAGAACACAGAAGTTATAATATACAAAGTATGCCTTTGTAGTGAAGTGAAACGGAGCGTTAAAAACAATTAAAATGCCAACTTAAGCCAACTATGCTCCTGCCGTTTTGAAGGACTTCAGGCAAGATCCCCAAATCCTTTACTCTGTGCAGCTGAAGCCCTATGAAAACAGACACAAACTGGGCACCACAATTTCTGCTACAAGGACTTAAAAGCTAAACATGAAGATCCCAGCCGACAAAGCGTCTTGTAATTAATCATCTACAGTATGACCTATATAGTCACGTATTTAATATGGTCTAGTGCTTTGATAATCTACAAACATAATTCAGAAAGTTGATACCTTAGGGTAGGTGATTTCTGAAAGCGAACCAAGTCTGCACTGACCTCTGTGAGCAACACTGCCAGCATGTCCTGTCTCTGGAAGCGGATGGCTAGGTGAACCAGCGTGAAGCCATCATCGAATGCTGAGGGCCGGTTTAATAGGCGCACCTCGTCGGACGTTAGCTGTCTTGCGATGTCACCTCCCGATGTCTTGTAGGCTTCCACAGCTGCCAGGTCACCTTCTACGACACCTTTCAGACAAAGAGGGGGAAGGAGAAAGCTCCCATCAATAAACAATGTTACCAAGTGATCACTGTGGACACAGTTTTGAAGAGAAGACCTTTTTTTTTTTTCCTGCTTTGCCCCACATTAGCACAAATTTTGTGCATTTAACTGGCAATCATTTTCATGAAGACATTTAAAATATAAAAATGAAAAGGCTCTGCTGAGAAAAATAAATCCTTTAACAGTCCACTTTTGGCTGTGGAAAAAATAGGAAATGAGCAGACGTGCTGACCAATGCAGTCGAATCACACAAAGTCTTAACACAGCAGAGACATAAAAAGACAACCTTGCGCAGAGGTCAGTTTACACTACACTAAAATATATGAAATATTGGAGATCTGAATGTGCTTTATCTCTGTGGCAGCTGTGACAGCTTTGAGACTTTGCTGACTTTGAAGTCAAGGGGAAAAGACATCAGGGGGCAGAGTGTGATCATCAGAGTGTGATGTTTTTTTCACCTCCTTAATCTTCATGTTTATGTTGTAGCATAAGCGTTGATGGATATGTTTGAGCAGCTGTTGGTGTGTCTGTTCTTTTCTGGTGCAAAGTGTAAATGAAAAAACCAACTTCCAGAGAACAAACTCAAATAGTTACCAGCTAATGAGACACTACTGCAGGAAGAGTCATTCTGTGAAAAAAAAAAACAAAAAAAAAAACCAGCAGATTTTTTTAATATATTAACTTTTGCATATGCAATGAAGCACTGCAAAATTGTATGTTTACTTGCAAATTCAGTTATAGTATAATTTTAATTTTTGTCCATGAACTCACACACGTGATTTGCGGACATGAACTGTTAATAGTCAGCTTTATGTTTTAATATAAGTTGACGGAGACTTTTATGAACACGTTCTGCTCAGAATGAAATAAATAAATTGACATATTTGGTTTTCACATCCTTTGTTAGGGAAGGTTAATGAAGTTTAAGTTAAACTAAAGAAAAAGCTCAAATTAAAGGAGAAGCGATCCATCTCGATGTGGCGAGGAGAGAACTTAGAGGTGAGTGATTGAAGTGGCTACCAATGAGAGCGAAGGATACTAACTGACAAATCACAGGGCTGTAAATATGGTAAAGGGTTACCTAGGCAACCGGAGCTAGGCTCACCTGTTAGCAGCCAACCATCAGCAACAAACCAATGTGTGATGAGCTTCTTGCCCGAATACCTCTTAGATTGTGAAGAACATTTATATAGAAGCTTTATTTTAGAAAATAAAAAAAAAACTAACTCAAAAATTATTGTGTAAATAAAAAAATAGCTATAATAAAAAAAAAATTAAAAAAAATCAGGAACAGGAAATGTGCTCAGCTTTAGTCTTTGTTATTTTGATTTTTGCAATATTGAATTTTATTATTGCACTCTTCTGAACTTCGTAAATCTTACAATTTGCCAAATTATTATCAGCATTATAATCATCAAACTAATCCTGACATTGCAATTAATATAAAAACATAATTAAAACACTTATACAATAAATGCTACATTTAAATAAGAAAAACCAATACTGAAACGGAATTGAAAACAAAAAGTTAACCCTACAAAAAAACAAAGAAAGTACTGGTATCCCTCAGCCTCCTAGTAGATGCGCCTATGGTATCAATTTCAAAATTCTACGTGGTCTCGTTCTCGAGTTATCGCATTCACAAACTTGGGTGTCCACGCCACCTGTACGCTTGCCCTGCAGGGTGATGACAATACCCCATCAACCTTTTGCAGCTGAGGGGTAAAAACTGATAGAAAATACAAAGCTATAATAACTCTTGTGCAAGCCTCTAGTTCTGTGATCAACCACAGTGAGACAAAATAACCTATTAGTAGTTTAAGCAGAGTAAAACATTGAGCTAAATGTGTTTTTATGAGTAATGAAAACAAAATCAAAGTGTAAATTTCTTTCAAATATGACAGCAGCCACAGAAATATCCTCTTCCCATTTCTAGCGTATACAGTAAATTCTCATGTGGTAGTCTCTCGTACATTTGATAGCTTAAAACACTGTTGCGCTTTTGTTCTCGCGTCAAAGGACCACACACAATGCTCAGCTGCATAATCTGCATGTGAGTGAGAGCGAGAGAGACATGGAGTGGGTAGAAGGACTTGCTGTGCCATGTGGAGCTGGCTAGCGCGGTGAGGGATGAGGAGAGAAACTACACAATAGCAGCGCAGCGTGATAGAAGGATCACAAAACCACTTTCCAAAAAACACTCCATTAGCGTGGGTGTGCCTGTAGCCCTGCAGTCAGTACTGTACTCACAGATCCTTTGGTGAACACAAAAGGCTCCAATATGCAAACAGACATACACTTAAAGACAGACTAATTAGACAGAATGGATCAGGCTAAGTGATTCTTGTCTTGTCTATTTCTCCTACAAAGGACGCACATTTCAATAATGGTGATAGCGGGCGCCTCCATCATAGCAGAATCAACAGATGGATGTGGGTGATTCAAAGTCTATTTGTGATTGGTACAGTTTCCTGTTTAAACAGCCACTTCAGAGAGAAAAACAGAAGAAGTAAATATTCTGTCAGCATACCTTCCTGTTCAAGGACACCTGGATTGGACATATTAGACATCTTTATTTAACAGGAGCACTGCTGAAAAAAGTACGTAAAAGTAGAAGAAAAACACAAATTAATAAAGCGCAACTGAATTTACAAACACATTTTATAGTAATAAATTCTTCTGTACTGTGTGGGTTGGCTAAGTGGCATTTCTTAGTGTATTGTTTTGTTACTGTTGGTGTAATAGTAACATGTTGGCTTTTCCCTGCAATCACATATCAAAATGATGGCCCTGAATGAGGTTTGTAGTAGTCTGACATTATATTGAGCATCCTGCTGGTATTGACACACCAATCTGCTTTTTGTCTGAAAGGCTAGCAAGACAATCCCTTAGTATGTCACACCTAACCAAAACAATGAAGCTGGCATTGTTTTAGCATTTTATAATATAACAATATGATTTATAAACATTGTGATATGCTGCATCGTAACAAATGTTAGCATTTCCTTCGGGATTAATAAAGTATTCTGATTCTGATAATTCAACACTACTGTGGAAAAACAGGCATTAAGAAACAGTTTCATTGCATACACTTCTGTTGTTTTTCATATATTTAATGCCAGCTTGGAGTAAATATTACATAAGAGAATACCATAAAATTATTAATATTCATGGTCTTAAGGGAACTAAAAACAATCCATCATTACAACTGCATCTAGATAGAGACATTACAGATGGACCCTTACTGTGGAAAATCTGTCCATATACTGTAGATAGATATTGTCCATATCTGACAATGAGACTTCGGTAAAGACTGAATTAAATTAATGTTCTGATTGAACTATATCATAAACTATATAAGTATATATATAGCAACAATGTATAAATGTGTGGAAATATTGCTGCATTATTACTTTTATCCTTCAACCGGGAAAGGAGGACATGATTTTGTTTGATGTTTGCACATTCCTTGTGTTCACATTGGCTTCCGTTGACTATGCACCTGTTTCCTTTCACATTCCTAAAGTAGGAGGATCCAAGTCTTTATGCTGTATGAGCACTCCCCTTTTTTACTAAAATAAAGAAATTTGAAATGTGTAAATGTAAATAAAACAGAATGTGATGGTTTGTAAAATCATTTGGATCCTATTTAACTGATAATTTAAAAAAACAAAACAAAAACAATATATCAAATGGTAAATCTGAGGAACAGTATTCTGAAAAATGTATGGTTATTTTGAATTTGATGCCAGCAACACAAGAAAATAAGTTCAGGTCAAAGAGGAGAGAGAGTAAGCAAAAGTTTAAATGTCAGCATGTTATGGCGGTGCATCTACGCACACTGCATGAGTATTTTGAACAACCGTAAATGTGCCGGTAATTCAAAATTACACCAGACTACACCTTTCTCAGGAAAGGCCTTGCTTATTTTAGGAAGATGATGCCAAACCACATCCTGCCCATATTAGTGTGGTTCTCTAGTAAAACCTCTGGGTATTTAATGACATAATACTAAGCATTTTGTTTATTTACCAACACAAATGCTCAAGTGTTCAGTTTAAGGATCATGGGTCATGCACACTGTAGGAGTGACGGTAAGTTCTACAGCCACAGGCATTTTCTATTTTTGACTTATTTTACATGGATCGTGCTAATTTTAGTGCATCAGGCTCCTCAGTAAACAACTTTAGGTATTGGGAAACCGTGACCACAGTTTCAAAACTATAGGAGTGAAATTTTAACTTCTTTGCCCCCAGCACTTCATCACAGGTTTGATTTTGTGAGAGGCTGTTTGTCACATCCACTATTCTACCATAACATTAAAACTACTGACAGTGACAATCTGAAGTGAATAACATTAACAATCTATTTAAAATACAATGTGCAGGTGTGGCTTGAGGACCATGGCAAACTTCACAGCACTGACTTGAACTCATCACCCTTATGTGACTGAGCATCAGCAAGCAGAGTCAGCAGAACCATCCCAATTCACAGAGGACATCACTGTAATCACATTACATTTTTCTGTAATAATATAATGCATTTATGTACTAATTTCAATAATTACATTAGTCCCTAATCAACAATTATGCTGTTACTTGTATTATATAAACTATTCAAACTGGCTTCTGTAGGAAAACGGTCTACAGACTTTGAAGAGCTCAGATTACTTTCATTTTTAATGCATGAAAGGACAAGAATGTTACTGTAAAGTGGCAGAAACAACTATCCACTACTGCTAATACAACTTTGTGTCTCTTTGTAAGCATCAGCAAAGACGGCATGGTCATATGAAGCTAGCAGTGAAGAACCCTGGATCCAGAGTGCATGCTGACCACAGCCTATTAGCCAAAGCTTGAACAAATAATAAAAGCTATGATGAGCAGACGGGCTTGTACCCATACCTGGTGCGACAGTAGACTCTCCGTGGCCACAGCACATCTGTGAAGTGCTCTTTGGGCTGTTTTTCATAAAACACTAAAAGAAAGATCCTCTTTAGGACTGGGATTTGTGTCAATGTGTGGGACTGTACATTCGAATTATATGACAATAAATCTCAGGTCATGTTGTACAGTACTGCAGAACATATCGAGTAATGTAATAAATTACCTTTCTGCAGGGAGTAATTAAGTAAGAAAAGGTTTTAGGTTTTTCAAAACATTATAAGTAATTACTCCAGTGTTGCTCAGGACACACCCTATTATGCACTTCACCCAAAGGATGTGCTGTGAGCATTCTGGTACCAGATGCCAAAAGACACCCCAAGGAGGTGTCCATGTTCAAAACAGAGTTACTTTGACAGCACCAGGAATTCCTACATATTATTATGCAGGTGATTTTATTGTTTTCATGCTGATCGGTGTATGTCTATGAACTTCAGCTCACAAAAATTTTTGGCAGCACAACAGATGTTGTTTGTCAAAACATGCAGCCTTAAAAACATGTGATTTCTATTACTCTTGCATGACGTGTTATTTCATATTTCACGCTTTAGTCTGGCTTCATGCAGGATCAGAACCCGTGACCAGGCCTGATGTAGAACCACATAACCACTGTGACGTCTCCCATTTGTTAGTGAAGACCTGTTATGTCTCAAGTCTCAAGCTGGGCGTTTTCACCATTGCCATCTTTTTTTCAAATGTTTTCTAATTAAAGCTGACAAGCAAGGAGTGGTTCTGACAGTGAGGACACTGTAGAGTAATGGGCTAACAATTTAAGATTAACAAATCATTAACCAATAGGGATAACCCTGGATGATCCTCATTTCTGTGTCTAATAACTACCATAATTTACAAACTGAGCTTCATGTTTTATTCAAAATTTCTTCAATCTAGTGACTTAACCAAAAAGTCATCAAGAAAATGCTCGAGATCACAAAGTGGGTTGAGGGCAGTTTTCCAGTAGACTTCTATACAAGTGAACTTTTTTGGCAACAAATAGAAGTGGCCCTGCTGGGTATGAAAAGCTTCTCAGGTTTAAGGCACATCGGCACATCTGCAGAGGCTTCACGTTTCAGACCCAGAAGCTGCAGCCGTCTTTATAGCATGTATCTGTAGAACTCATGCTGAACATAGCCCAAGGTTATCCAAAGCAGGTTTGATGTGTCAATGCTGACTGAAGTGACAAAGGTTGTATTAATTTGTAAAGCTTTGTAAAGCATCATTTTATACTTAAAAGTATACCAGATACTTTTAAAATGGAGGATTATTGACACTTTTTGTTATTTACTTTCTCTTATTAACAGTAGTGCAGCATTTGAGCACCTTAACGACAAAACAAACAATATGTGTCTGTGGTTCCACATGAGCAGCAGTTCTAAGACACAGAATAATGTCTGTGCTGATAAACACAGATATTATTCCTCAGATCAGAACAGATGGCATGAGGCAGATATTGATATAAAACTTTCCGAAGTATGTCTAGTGAACCTGCCAAATAGGGAGTGAATTTAAAGAGATGTCTTTGATTTCTTTTCCTTTAACAGAAGAGGAATGAATTAGGAGACATTTCCAATCAGATAAGGAATGTTAACACTTGAATAAGCCTAAACAAAATCATGCCTACTTGCAAGAGAAATTTTTGACCAGATGAGACTTTGTCCCACGGGAACAAGCAACACAGACATGAGGGAATTCAACATCTGACAAGCAGCAAGAGACCCAGAGCAGAGCCAGAAACAAACTATCTGCAGTGATATTGCTCTTACAGGTTTTGAGGAATGTAGCAGGAAAAAAGGCACAATTTTTAATCACTAAAAGGACTTCATTGCGATACCAAATGCAGGCATGACTGTCAAATTTGTGCATATATAACACAGTATATATAACACAGAATAATCAACTGTCAGAGGGACAGATAAGGAAAACAGACGGGAGGTTGAGTGGGCATACAGAACAAACGCTACTCATCCATGAAAAAGGCAAGAGAAAGAGTAAGACAGTGGTGTGAGAGAGGGAAAAAAAGAAAAAACTAGTTGTTCCTACAATGCGCATCCTTCCTCCCACTCTGCATTCGCCAGTGTACAGTGTGGGTGGCAGGACACTTGCTGTCTTTATAGTGAATTTTTTACTAGCTGAATACAGAGGACTTCCAAGCATACATAGTGTGTCTGCAATATTAAGATTACATTCAAGATAATCTAGATACAGTTCTATAAACTGCTTAGTAAATAGTTGCCTTGCAGGTTGTTAAGCAACATACTGTGAATCATTCACACAAATTTGGGAAAAATGTCATTTCACGGTGTTAGCTTGCCTTATATTATTCACTTGACTCACTGCCCATCTCATAACATAAGCAAAATACAAGTCAAACATACTTCAGTGAAGTCATCCATCCTTAAAAACTCACCAACACAAGCATTGAGGAACAGCCAATCACTCCGTCTCATCCTGTTCTTAATCTGCTTGAGTTTTTTGAAATCCACCTCAAGATCTTCTTTGCTCCCAATCCCAGCGCCTGATGCCAGTTCAATCCTCTGAAAGTCCATGTTCACCTCTGACTCCCGCTTTAACGTTGGCGGTGACCTCCTCTGGCTGCTGCTACAACTCCCTACACCACCCACCACACCTCCTACTCCTTGACTAACCATGTGGCCAACAACAGCCCTCCTGTTGTCCCTGTCCTGGTCAAGTTTTGAGGATGATTGTTGACTCTCAGGTTCCGATGCCAGTTCGATGGGCTCAGCCAGCAGACTATTGGGTGTGGGGTGATCGCACACAACACACTTGAGAGCCTTGGCCCAATTTTCATAAGTGCAGGCAGTGCAGGTCCAGTGCTGTGTATGAGTGTTGAGCCTGTTACGGTCATTATATTCCTCACAAGTGTCTGTAGTGGTGGTTGGGGGAGAGGGGCGACATCCAGAGCCTGAGGTCTGGGGTGTTTCTGTGGGGCTGCGTGGCTGCTGGGTATGATGTCCTTGATGGGCTGCATGCTGCCCATGCTGTTGTTGGTGTTGGTGTTGTTGAGCCTGCTGCCTCTGGCACAGGCACTGAGTACACCGGATAGCTCGAGGCCAGTTCAGATAGGTGCACATGTGGCACGACCACTTACTACTAGGCTCAGGTACGTCAGCAATGCGAATGCGGGGTCGGGCGCTGGAGTCTGGACAAATAAGTAAGCTAGATCCCCCCTGAGATGGACTGTTGCTGAGGTCTGCAGGGCCCCACTGATGCACACTGGCATCCAGGGCAGGGCTGCACTTGAAGGGCTCCTCAGTAATGATGGCACCCCCGCTGGGCCTCTGAGCGCGGCACATGGTGCACTTGATGGCTGACGGCCAGTTCTCGTATGTGCAGTATTCACAGGCCCACTTGGCAACCAGCTCGGTCATCGTCGCACCGCCGCTAAGGGAGGCTTCCTGCCGTTCAGAGGGACTCAGCTTGGCAGATCCACTCTCAAGGAGATCACACAGCAAGCAGCACACTAAGGTTTAAAGGGGGGAAAAAACCCAAACAGATATGTTAAATAAATAACAAAAAAGACAAACCACAGTATCTTATTAATCAAAGGCAAACACTTCAAGAAGGTAAAGGGATTAAAAATTAGCTTGTTTCTCGGTTTAAATGAGCAAAATACACTGCCAAATGTCCCAAACAAAGCCTACTTATTTACAGCCACCTGTGTATTCAAATTATTGACTGGCAAACAAAATTTTAATAAACAGATATGCCCACTCTTGATCTGGTATTAATTTGTAGTAATAACCAAACTATTGTTTAGAGACCCACAAAAACAAAGTGCAAGGGCAAAACTGCAGCCTAGAGTGCAACACTGACTATAAACACATACAGTTAAGTTATATACACCAGGCACATGCGCCCTACAACAACCAGGCAAGGTAATAAGAGACAAGGACAGATGAAACCTGACGCCCAGCAGGGAGGCGCGTGACTGGTTAAGAGACTTATGCACAGAAAGAAAATTCGCCGTAAAGCTAATTAAGACCTTAAATGATCCAACTGTATGTGTCCCACGCTGTATTCTGAACCATGAACACCAAAATAAAAGATAAGGCTGGCTCCGACAGGGCAGGTCTGTAGTCCCGTTACTGTTTACGCCACGCCTCCCAAGTTTACCAACACACAGTGAGAAATTCAACATTTTTTTTGTGAGCTGCATGTTCTGAAAACAACTGTGTCAAGTAGCTTTGGTACTCACAAGCAACTAGCAAAACTGTCAAGACACTCCGCTATAATATACTTGAATTTATTTAAATAAGCATTTGACTAGTGTGATTTACAGCCAGTAGTGGTAAACTAACAAATGACACTGTACGGCTGTGTCGTGTCTTAACGGAACCAGCTAGCTGTCACTTACCTTCCATAACAACCGCTCGGTTGCCATCCAGGATTTATGGCCAAGCTAGCTGGCTGCGGCTCGCTAACGTTACGGGATTATGTTTTGCTCGTAACCGTCTGAGAGGCCCTTATCAACTCTACGAGAAGGTGTCTTAACGCTGTAACCCTCACCTTTTGCTTTGCTGTGTTTACACTCCTCGGTCCCCCCTCCCCACGCCCGGTGCAGCCAAAACCAATGGAGTTTCTCCCCCCACCCCACCCCCGGTCGGAGAAACCAACTCCACTCCGAACTCAGGCTCCTCTCACTTGGACGAAACTAGCCGCATATTTACTTCTTTTGGGGGCGCCGTTTACTTGGCAGTTGACAGTCCACACATACCGCGTAGCAAGAACCCTCCCTCCCCCCTCCCCAGGTCCCGTCCCTCGGCCTGTCTCTTCTGAGTTTTTAAATCATTTTCCCGTTTTCCACAAACACCAAGCGGACGGACTTTAATGGCGGCACAGGGAAGGGAAGCAACCGAGGCAGGGCTTAAAAATACACTACGAGGGAGAGCAGAGCGCTCTGGGCCGTGTTACAGTCAGAGGCAGGATCAGGATTTACCACCCGAATCTGCTGAGCAAGCCGATTGGTTGACACATGTGTATCCCTTGACACGGACCAATCACATTCTACGTCTCTCATTCCAATTGTTAAAAGGCTCAGTCAAAGCAAAACAGACTCGAATATCACAGAAATAACGAAAAGAGCCATTAGAGCGCCCGTTCTTTTAGTCGCTAGGCTTAGTTAGTCAGAGTAAAATGTGTTTGTTTTATAATTTATGCATCGCAATATGTTGCATCTCTGGCAATCAACCACGTGGTATTCCCCCCTAAAAAGGGACGAAAGGATGATGTCATCGTAAAAAAATACTGCAGCAAGCAGTCTGCAGTAATGCATGACAGCTTGATCAACAGTTCCCAGCGTGAAACTAGTGACGATATTGGTGAGAAGCTCCTATCATCAAAGCAGATTTTTATATTCCACAATAATTAATGATTCCCCAATTCATTTTTCACATGCAAAAATAATAATAAAATTAAAATCTATGACTAGCTTTTTTTTTTCTTCCCAGGAAATCCCAAACTCTTCTAAGCACAAAGTTTTCTTTACATTATAAAGACAATGCATCCAAATAAAATGCACGTATGAGGATTTACACCCACTTACATGTTAATGTCTTTGAAAAATGGAAACTTTAAAGCATTCAATGAAGACTGTTCATCGCAATAACAAAACAAAGAGGCATTATATCACATATGCATGTCTCATTTATTACCCTCCCAGTTCAAGAACCTTATTCTCTGTGCTCATCTAAGCAAGTCCTTGGTCAGCTATTGTCAAGTACACAAATCCAGATAAAAGCCAAGAAGATCTCATCTGCGCTCTGGACTTTGTGCTTTGGGGAGGTGTTTATGTTGCAATGAACCACTTGGGGGCAGAGGAAGTGAAAGGTCATCCTATACAGTAAGTACATGAGTGTATTGGAGCTTAAAAGGTATACAATCCTAACAATGTTAGGTCTCGCACTCTTTACACCAGTGGTCTTCTGTCCTTTTGGTTTCCTATCTGACCATCTGGTCATGATAGGATGGCAGAAGGGATTTTTGTTTTTAAAAAACAAAACAAATTTTCTAGGGCTTGAAGACCAGGATCAAGAGTGAGGACCAAGACTGAGAACTGCTGCTCGATACCACAACACTCAACTGAGACAAGCTCATACGGTAAGTTCAGTTTAAATGCTACCCCCCCGTGTTTACTATACATTCATTATTTATTTCCTTATTATATTCCAGTACTCAAAGGAAACACTCCTAACAAGTCGATTTTATCATTTCTTTTAACATTGCATGATTGTGTTACTCTGGGTGATTATTCAGCAACATTTCTGAGTGCCAGTTCCTGACCAGTGATGCATTGGCATTACACATCAGGGCAAATCAAATGCCTCCAAGGCCAAAAAAAAAAAAAGAAAAAGAAAAAAAAGACATAAAACAGGCTGTGTAAATAAAGCAGAGCTTGTTCACAAGGCAAAGTGTCTCCACCCTGAAATCTCTTCCAAATTGAGTGCAACCTCCTCACTATGTCAAACAACCTCCACAAACAGTGCAAACATCCATTCCATGCTTAATATAATAATGTCTAGAGAACACCCCCCACCCCCCAAAAAACCCCCACCACTCTCACTATGGCTGTCCTCAAACGGGCCAGAGGTTTAAAAAGCTGTTTGTCACCTCACCAACTTTGCCCTGGGTGCTGCTAGGTCGTGACACAGATTCGTTCTGACTTTACATTTATGTTTCCAGTTTCAAATAATAAAGCAAGCAGTCACAGCTGCAACATTAGGATACACATCCACTCAGAAGCCACCAGGAAAGGTAAAAAGAGGGGGGGAAAAAACATCTTTGGGAAGCAGAAAAGACAGTTTCAGGGAGACAAAACATGACATTATGGAAATGCATGCTTTAAACTGCAAGGCTCAATTAAAATAAAAATGAAAAAAGAAAAACAAAAAAAAATGTGGAAGTTGATTATTGCAAACACAACACAGTATTTTTTTTTTTAAATACAACTTTTCCCCCCAAAGAGAGGTCTGTGAATGTGTTTTGTGTGCAGACTGAAACTGCCCTGAGTGGAAGGCACTGAAGCAAGGTCATGATGTTTTCATCACATTAAACCAGGTCCTTATACTTTACACTGAATCAGGCAGGTCACAACACATGAGGTCTGCATTCAACTATGCAAAAACGTGAAGGTGATTGCTCAGTCTCTGTTCCCAAAGTTGCAATTCACACTGTACAGGGGTGCCAGCCATAATTCCATTATGATTTTAATAAAGAACATATTAGTAAGAAGTAAGCTCAAAGTGGTTAAATGAACACAAACATGGTCAGTAGTATTGAGAAAACCAGCACTGTAAAGTGGAAGCAGCAGCCAGGTTTTTATATGAAGTACAGATGGATGCAATTTTTCTTTTTTAGTGGCAGCTCTCTGTGTGTGATGCAGCAGCAGAAGGGAACCATAAGCATCTGGTTAGTAAAGCTACAGTACACTGTTTGCCCTGTGAACCCCATACAATGCAAATAAGCTGAGCTAATTTTGGCTCAGGGTGGTCAAAGAGGACTACTCAAGTGGCACAACATGTCAGCATTGGTATAGCACATTATTAAAGAAATCTAAAATTTTGTTAAGTGCAGCAAAGCGCATACAATTTCAGTGTTATCCTAGAAGAACGAGACATTGACACTGTCAGTCAAATAAGATCAACTGTTAATCTGACAAAATATATATATATATAAAAGCACCCATCCTAGAAGTGGCAGAGTAAATTTTGTTTGAAATCTAATCATTATTTTAATAGGCAACGGTACGGTTAATTAAAGACCGTGAAACATGGAAAAGACACTAACAAGTTGAAAATCGAAAAGACAAAATGTGCACATTGAATAAATTCTAGTTACATATATATTTCTTTCTTAAAATTAAAAAGTAAACAACCATTTGCCTACTTCACTGAAAATTGTTTGAAGGCCGCAGAATATTTTCCCTTCATTCTCATAGTTGGTTTGTGTAGAAGAAAGCAAGAAAACAAAAATAGTGCAAGAGGTAATGTAAGAGTGGGTGCTTAAAGTCAGTGATCCAAATTTGAAACAAAAAGATATACACTTAACATACAGAAAGCATGGGCTAATCTCTTAGCCAACCAGTTGGCCTGAATAATGTTTAAATCTTCACTGCTCGCCCTGAAATCCAACAACGCCACACTTAAATATCAAAACCGGCCCACTTTGAAACAAAACATAAAGACAAACGACTTTTCACCCAGTGAGATGCACCTGTTTAAGCCTGCAAAGCCTAGTAGGTTTCCCCTTAAAATGGAGATCAGACTAAGACAAGAATACACACAGTTGGACATCACTTGCACATGCCTTTCACTTTCAGGACTGGCACTTTTTTTTTGTCTGTATTTGCCCATCTTTGATTGCTTTCGATGCCCACCTCTCAAGGTGTGTCACATATTTGTGTCCCTTACACATCCTGTGGCTTTTTTTTAAATTTTTTTTTATGTGGCCTGCGAGCCATGAGCATCCCCGTCAGGGCTGAGGGCAGCTGGTCGACCTTGAGCTAAAACGCTGACAGAGACCATTGGCAGGTGAGCACCTTCGCTCACTAAGTTCTCATATTCGCTACTGTCCTCGTCCTCGTCCTCCTCATCGTCTTCCTGCCCTGCAGCTTGTCTGTCTAACGAGTCAGAGCTTGAGCCGTCACCATTGCCAAGGTACGGAGTGCTGGGAGTGGTAACGGGATTTGAACTTGCGCTGAGGCCCAGGCCCAGCCCGTGGCCAAGACCCAAGCCCATCACCGTAGGGCCAGGGGTAGGGTGTCCTGGGGAGCCCACAGCTTGGGGTCGAGGTAACAGAGCAGCACTAGTAGGGGGGGAAGAAGAGGGCAGGAGAGAGTCATCTTGGGACATGAGGTCAGTGTAAGATGGTGGGTTAGGTGAGGTACTGGGCCGCTCCGGAGCAGAGGGTGTGGGGAAAGTTATCCCGGACAGCGGAGAACCCTCACAAGGTTCTGTGTTCTCCTCTGGAGTGGAATGGGAGTCTGCATTTTGGGCTTCACGGAGCCCTGCAGAGAAAAAAGAAAGATGTAGCTATTAAAAACATGTAAGGTAAATGTAAATGCCACTTATATGCATATTAACTGTTGACTGGTCTAACATGAACTTAAAAACTTAAAACTGAATTTCTCTGAATGTGTAGCTTTGCATTATTAGCTACTAGCTTAAAAGAATGTTATAATCTACAAGATGTTAGTTCACTGTCTGCATCCAAGTTTAAGCCCAAATTTGTGGTTCTAAAATTTAAAGCAGCACGCATTTGAAATATTAATGACATAATTCCAGTATACTGAATGCAAATCAGTTACGTACTTCTCTCCTCTTCTGCAGTCTTGCGTTTCCTGAGAGCAATTTGTTGTTTGAGTTTGTTCACTTCCTCTTGAATTTTCTCTTTAACACGCTCACTTTGTTCCACTTCACCACAAACAGCCTAAAAATAGGGCAAACAATTTATCAGAAAAATTAAATCTCATGCAAAATAGAACAAAATAACATAAATATTCTACTGCCCAAAGAAGTTCATAAAATGTTTGAGGTGAAATAACAGAAATTATTCAACCCACCTGCAGTTTATCTTGTAGTGCACTGTAGACTTGGAATATTGTTCGGATATCCTTCATCACACCGTCTTTGTCAAAAAATTCAGCCCTGCAGACATATTCACCAAAAAAGATTTCAAACACATCTTTCAAGAAAACAAAACGATACACAGCAAAAACCTACATATTTTATCAATCAAGACCACAGATAAATTGTGGTTTTTGTTGCCGTCTTCTATAGTAAAGTTAAACCGTAGCTAACCACTGACTCTTCAAAGTACAAGCTGAATAAGCTGAAGAGACAGGCCTGACCAAACTCTTCCTGTAACACACACGGTACTCTTCCACAGCAGAAACAGAGGGTCTAAGTTTAGATACAAA